CTACTAGATTATGAGTGCCTAGAGGGCAAGAATCTTGCCTTAGTCGTCTTCATTTTCCCAGCACCACACACGGAGACTTGCATGTGCTAGGATGAGGATGCTGCATAAGGCCTCCCATCCCACTCAGAGCTGGAAGGAGCAGGACAGAGGGGTGGCAGAGAGAGCTTAAAGAAGAAATGAAGGAGGGAAAGATAGAAATCATAGGGAGATCAAAGTAAGGGGATACATGAGAGAAGAGGGACAGCATTCTTGTGAAGCACTGGGATGGGTAATATGAAGAGCTTACCCAAAACATTAGGGGTTAATTTAAACAACCAACATTTTTTCAGCACCTACTGTGTGTGGATAACACTATGTTAGACACTGTGGGGATATACAGTTGAAGAAAACACGTCTCTATATGATTTGGTTGGGAAGATAAGACAAAGACACACAAAAAGACTGGCAACATTTATTCATACGAACATGAATTACTTAAAGTTCTTAGGGTTTAGTACCATTTTCAACTTCAAGACTTTTAATATGAAGCCCCTTGGCAGTCAAGAAGTTATTGTTTCAAGAAATATTACATATGGAAACTGATTTGCCTGGCTGAGATCCCAGCAAAGCTTAACAAGGCTAGACTAGAAACAACTTTCTTAGAAAATGGACTGAGGCAAATTGACATGGAATTGTGAATTTAAACCTATTCAAGAGTACTTCTCATTTCTGTGTGTCTCAAATTGTATATTATGAGCTTTTTTGAAGAAGGTAAGATCGGAGCTGGAAAGAGAGGGAACGGTTCATGGAGAATCTGAAAGAAGTGGATGGAAAAAGTGAAAGAAAAGTAGACACAGAAGAGAATTTCAGAGAGGGAATAATGAGAATACACGAGACAATAGGAATAAAAAGATACTCCTATTCATAAAACTTATTTTTAAAACTGTACATATGAATTCTATTTAAATGATGATGTTTAAATTATCTGTTTAAATGATGTTTATCTGATAGCTGTAATATAAAATATGAGATTTTAAGAAAATAAGTAGGAGGTGCTTTTAAATTTTATGATAGGCACTTAGCCAAAGGTAATTGAAAGGATTCTAGAAAAGGTATTAGAAAATGAAAAGGGTAAGGTCATTATGTGAATAAGAGATAAGATGTATTCTGAGTGAAATGGTTGATGTCTTTTTACTGGTTCCTAAGACAGGGAGTAGTAATGTCCCAAGACATTATCCAGCAGCTCAACTTAATTTTTCTGTTTTATGACAATGTAATACTGGGATGGCTTAGACATTTAGTTTTGTATTTAATTTAATTAATCAAACCTTGAGTCACTACTAAGTGGTTAGCCTCAGAGACCCGCTATGACCAATGAGCTCAACTGGGATTGGCTGAGCACCAAGTGAGCTCATCAATTGAGCATTGTGTCCTAGGGTATTGGGGAGAGTACAAAAGGGGGCGCAAGGGCCCTGCCAGACTAGCTCTTCAGTAGTTTCTGAACATGTAGACAGCATTATATAAGACAGGTAAGTAGAAAAGAAAGCAGGTACTGTAGTAATTGACTAAGGGTCTGAGTTAACGTGAGTGGTCAGACTATGAGCACTGATGTTAGAGAAAGGTGTGTGTGGCGGGGGGTGGGGGGGATGAGCACACTCTCACTGAGTTGGGGTTGAGCTGAACCTTAAGTAGGGGGCAGGAATTTTGAGTGAGGTTGGAGAGTGGGAAGGGAGTAGGGAACAGATCTTGTTTATTGGGAAGATAATTATACTGTGGAACAGAAAATTCATGTTGGAAAAGCAGTAGGAAATAAGTTGATACCCTATTTGCTGGGGGAGGCATAGTTTAAATGCCAAAGAGAAACATTTAAGCCTAATCTTGAAGGTTATAGGAGGTTAACAGGGAAGGGACAGAAATCCCTACTAAATATTGAATGTAAAACAAGCAGCAACAATACTTAAGGAAAGTATTTTCCTTTTTTCCTACATTTTCAGCATCAAACATGTGTTTTTATGATCAGAAAGAGGGAGAAATTAAAAGGTTAAACCAGAAAAAGTATTGAACTCTCTACCTTGCCACTCTGGGACGGGCAGGGTTACTTCCTAGGTGATTGGGCTACTGGGGTGAAGGGAAAAGTAAAACGCAACAAAAACCCAAGTACAAGGCAGAACTGGGGAAATCATCAAGGTTCTTGTGCTTCAGGGGCTCCGAGGAGCCCTTGTTTGTGGCTAAGTGTCTGAGTACATCAGTCTTTGCTGGGGTTATTCCCAGCCAAGACAGCTGTTTGTACAATGGCAGCCATGTCTCATCACAGAGTGGGCCCCATTTCTGACGAGGGAAACAGAAGTTGGCAGGGCTTAGTCCTAGGCAAGTTACTTAGCCTCTTTGAACCTGTTTCCTCATGTGGATGGTAGTAGTCTCGACCTCACAATAAGGGCTTTTGTGATGTATGCACGAGGTAATGTGCATACATCACATGTCCAGTAAGGGTGGTTGGTACATAGTCAATGCTCAATACTACAGTCATTATTAATACTTTAAAGAATAAATTTATCTTATAACGTAGAGAATTACTTCTTACATTGCCTTAGATGCGATTAGATAACCCTTTCGTCTGGGTTTGGACCCAGACCCAGGCCTAAATTTGAACTAAACTCAACTTCTGGGTTTGGTGGCATGGCAGGGGGTAAGGGAGGTGTAGCAGGGTGGGAGCAGTGGTGCAAGGTGTTGTGGCCATATGAATATTAAATTCCATGTCAGCTTTTGGTTTAATTTGGCACTGAATGCTGTTCAAACAAAGCAGCGTTGTGAGTGGCAGAGGAAGGGAGAGGAGGAAAATCAACACATTCTTGGAAATAAGATGTGGCTTTTGCTTTGACTATTTTGTTTTTTCTTCGGCCACAGAAATATTTATTTGCTCTTGGGCTCACAATGAAAATCCCTTCCAGGGCATGGTACAAACCTAAGCTTCAGAGGAAACTTCCATTTAAGGATGACAAGGAGTTAACAAGACTTCCCTTGATACTTGCTTTTTTTTAATACCAGAACCCCTAAGATAGTGTTACTGAGCCTAGGGAGAAAGCTTTGCATATACTTAGAGCCCTCCTCAACCTCATTTCCTGTAACTATGGCATAGTGGTACGTGAAAAGTTGTTGTCTGCTATATTTCCTGATATCCTTGCCTCAGTGCTTATAGGTATATAGATGTCTCATTTACCCATTCTCTCTGAGTATTTATGTGTTAGGCTTTTCTAATTTTAGGATAAAATTTTAGTATAAAGCCTCGCAGTGCAATAATTCATTCCCTAATAGTTGCTTCTCTTGGACCTCAGACATCTGGCATTATGCTATAGGAGCTGGTCCTAGGTCAATATTTGAAGCACAGGGAAGCTCTGTGTGACCAAGTCAATGGAACTTTCCTGTTTTCTGGTTCTGTGGTATATGTTTAAAAGCAAGGTTTCAAGCAAAAAAGGTTGGGCATCCACCTCTCCTTGACTAACGCAGGACTTTTTGCAATAGCAGTACAGTAAATACCCCTTTGTGATGTTAAGCTTGTGTCAATGATGATGTGATGGGTTGGATAGGGAACTGTTATTGTCTTCTAACCCCACCCCTCTAGAAATAACACACACTCACTCAACACTCTGTCTCTGCCCTCAAAGAGCGTACACTTTAGTTGAGAAACCAGATCTTAATACATACTGTGCTGTAAAAATATAGACCAACCTGTTCATGATACATAACATGGAAACATGGAGCTACCTACATACATGATTTAATAGGAAAAAATACACTTCCATACTTTACATGCCATCTATAATTTACTAGGAATGTCCAATTATAAACTTTCTTTTCCTTAAGAGTTCCTTAGGAACACAGTCTCAAGTTCTAAGAGGATATAAGCAATTGGGCGAGTTTCTTGGGGATGGGCAAACACCTCACAACCAAATACCATATGCAGCTTGTATAACAGAGGAGGGGATTGAAAAGCACAGTAATCTCTAGTTTGGCTTTGCTATTAGCTGTGTGATCTTAGATTTCAGCCTCTATGTGATCAGCTGGTTCTCGATCTGAAGAACCAGGGGGCTGGAATATACAGTGCCTTTCAGTTTTCGCATTTAAAAGGGGGTCACATTTGTCTGGCATTCTCCATAGCACCTTCCCTTTTAAAAAGTTAGTAGCTAACAACTGAGCTTACATTTCAGTCTTTATTATTTTAAAACACTTTTCCTCAACTTTCCAATTACTTAGAGGATAAGGGAGAAGAGGGATAATGGAGTTTTGCAAATTCCTGTAGGGAAATTCTAAAATTCATTATCAATCTTTCATACCTGGAATTCTTTCAACAAGTGATTATTTCCCACAGTCCATTCATTCTTATACTCCCTCCCCACCATATAAAACAATGTTCAAAAATTGAAAATCACAAAACAAGTGGAAAATAAATCAGCCTAATTCCACCACTCAGGTAAATTTCACTTTTCCTTTCAGTTTTTGTTTAAAAACATGTAACTGTACGTATCGTTTTGCAATCCGCTTTGTTTCTCTTTGGAAATATATTTCTTGTGGGTCTTAGCCATGCAATAAAATATTCTTAGGTCACTTATAACCTCTTTTCATCCCTTTTCTTCTCTCTAGGGTACCAGGGGCCGGAGAGCCCGAATCTCAGAGCGCTGCTGGCGCTGCTGGTGATAGAAACAATATGATGAAGTAATAAGGGCGGGGGAGGGGTGGGGGGGGCGGGAAAGATTCTCTGAGAGAAAAAATGAAGAAAGCTCCACTTCAAGATCTAAGAAATTTCCGACACTAGAACCTTTGTATATAGTTTTCGGTAACCCTCGGCAGGGGGCGCTCGGAAGTTGTCACTTTCCGGACGGCCTCCCGGACTTTACCCTCTAGAAAATCGTACAGTGTTTCCGGCTCTTCTCAGTTGTATTCGCTCGTAAGTTTTCGGCAGTTTCCGGGGAGACTCGGGGCCTCCGTGTCTCGCTCGCTCCGTTCCGATCGCCCGGTGCGGCGGGGCAGGGTCTGGGGTTAGTCATGGCGTCCCCGTCTCGGAGACTGCAGACTAAACCAGTCATTACTTGTTTCAAGAGCGTCCTCTTGATCTACACTTTCATCTTCTGGGTGAGAGATGGAGGCGCCCGGGGACGGGAGGGGATCCCAGGCTTGAGTGAGGGGTGTGACCCTGAGCGGAGGGAGCTCAGGTCGGGGGTGGGGAGGCAGGCGCGGGTGGGGTTTGGGCGGCCGTCGCTGCTGGGACCCCGGCGCTGGCGACGAGTTGCTGGGGCCCGAGCTCGAGTTCGGGCATCTCTCCCGCGCCGGGGTCCCGGTGTTGGACCACGGCAGGCGACAGGCTGAGCTGGGACCCAGACGTGCCTAGCGTTCCAATTCGATGCGGGAGGCGAGTTAACCCCTCAGAGCATGCAGGGTGTCCCCGGACCGTTGGAGAGGCAAGGGTTGCCCAGCCCCTCTGAGGCCTCGCTTGCATAATAGTCTCTTTCTTTTCACTGCTTCATAAGAGGGGAGTATTTCTCAGGTAAGTATGGTGATGGCTTCACTCCCGCCAATCTGTCCTTGGGCTTGCTTTTGTGTACCATTCCCTTTGTACCCTATGCTCATCTCTGAACTGGGGGAAGGAGGAAGTTTCTGGAACTCATAGAAACACTTTTTTCCCCCTCCAAGGCGGGAGTAAAACAGTTAAGGAAGTCTTGATCCCTAGGGCAAGTATGCCATGGGCTTGTGTTTACACAAAAAAACAGATGCAGTTTAAGAATTTTAAGATGCCTTCTCTAGCTGTCCCCTGGTTTTGCCCTGGCTATCTGGCTACCTAGTGATCCAGCGTGTGGATTTATTAAGGCCTGCCCTTGTGTGCAGATCCCCTTCCTACCCCACTTCTATTGTCCTCCCTTGTCTGCCGTATCCCAGCCACAGCTCTGTGGCCACAGACTGTTAAATCAGTTCTCACATCTATTGTTTCTTAAATACCTAGTGGTTTGTGGTTTGAATATGCTGCTGTATACAGTGTATAACTTTCTATTCTCTGATTTCCCACATAGATCACTGGTGTTATCCTTCTTGCCGTTGGCATTTGGGGCAAGGTGAGCCTGGAGAATTATTTTTCCCTTTTAAATGAGAAGGCCACCAATGTCCCCTTCGTGCTCATTGGCACTGGCACTGTCATTATTCTTTTGGGCACCTTCGGCTGTTTTGCTACCTGCCGAGCTTCTGCATGGATGCTAAAACTGGTGAGTCCTTGTTTTCCTTAGAATCGATTCTTGGTTTTTGAAGTCTTCCACGTTGTAGGCTTTGTTCTTGGAATTGGCCATGGCCCTTGACGGTTTTTCCTGTTCCTTATGAAAACTTACCAAGTAACAGTTCAGCTGCCAATTTCCACTTCTGTTGCGTTTTCCCTGCCCTTTTCAATAAAAACATGCTGAACTGATTGAGCAGACCATTTTTTTCTTTGACTCCCTTTGCAGCTGTAATGTATCTTATTTATGCTGACTTGGACTTTCTTTTTATCCCACAGTATGCAATGTTTCTGACTCTCATTTTTTTGGTTGAACTGGTCGCTGCCATCGTAGGATTTGTTTTCAGACATGAGGTAAGCCTGAGTTTGGGAAGTTTAATATGTTGAAATTTATCCTCTGAGAGATAAAAATGGATTAATTTAAGTAACAGAGTTAAAGACAACTTTTACTAGTTTAAAAATCATCTACAGCTGTGTTTAAAGCTCACTTTTCAATCTGTAGCTGACAAAAATGGCTTTTTTGTAAAAATTCTAGCCCACTTTTAATATGAAAGAAAATTGTAAAGACTGATAGTCACCAGAAGAAAATTAAAGGTACCCATAATTATATGTATTTCCAGTCATTTTTCTGTGTATAAGTACCTATAAAGTGGAGGTAGTACAATTTATAACTTTAATAGGAAAATATTTAAAGCACAAAACTGATAACACAAAATTGATACCTTCTCCACTTAATGCCATGCATTTTGAAAAGATTGGATATACTTAATGAAAATCATCAGAACCTTAATATTGAATTAGAAATCAGGGTTCCACTGTTACACCTGGAGTTAGGAAATCAGTGCGTAGTGAAGGCTCCTCAATGAGAGTGTTTTACAAAGTGGTAGTGCAGTCTCCCGAAGTAAGGTTTTGTAGCTTAAAAATTCCATAGGCATCAAATTTGTACTCAGTTTAAAGTGGAGAAAGATTGGGTCTGGGGGACAGCAGAACACAGCTGACACTCGAGTAAATACATGCTCCCATAGCACCTTGAATTTGTAGTGGTTATCATCTTTTATTTAAATGTTTTGCTTAGTAGTCCCCTCAGCTAAACTATATCCCTTAGAGGACAGGATTGGACCGTAGAAGTTAATTACTATCCATGTTGCTGCTGTCAAAGATAGGACCCATTGGTCAGATGTGGGAATTTCTTATTTGACCTAGAAGCCAAAAGAACTTTCTGGAATCTTTATTTACTGGCATTGTGTTTCTTTGCTGTAGATAAAAAACAGCTTTAAGAATAATTATGAGAAGGCTTTAAAACAATATAACACTACGGGAGATTATAGAAGCGATGCAGTAGACAAGATTCAAAATACGGTAAGTGGTCATAGGTGGTGGCTTCTTAAGAGGGGAACACATTCCCTGGTCCCTCAGAGAAGAGGATGGGGCCCTGGCTACTAGATGTTGTCCACTTGTAGTGTGTTCTCATTGTAATCTTAGATTAGGAGAAAATGGAGATATGTCCCTGGAAAGAAGTGTGGAGTGATGCTCAGTGACATATTTCCATTTTCTCGATTAGGATGTGCACCTCTTCTCTTCACTCCCCACTTAACATCATAGACCAAGTACTGTTAGTACCAACAATAGCAGGCAAGTAAGGCCAGTCCAAAAATGTCACAGTTGGTGTTAGAAACAAGTGCTAATCTCTTGAATTATAATGCCAATTGAGGACAGCCACTTAAAAATATTAGGATGGAGATCATTGAGTATAATGGATGTTGAGCACAAATTGCAATCTAAGATGCTAGGTTAAATGTTTGACTACAAAGTTGTAGTATGAACTATAAATGCTTTTGTTGGATTTTTTCAGTTGCATTGTTGTGGTGTCACCGACTATAGAGATTGGAAGGATACTAATTATTACTCAGAAAAAGGATTTCCCAAGAGCTGCTGTAAACTTGAAGGTTGTTCTCCTCAGAGAGATGCAGATAAAGTAAACAATGAAGTAAGGAGACTTTTAAAATGTTTACTTGAAAATATTAACTGAATACAGAGGTGACTCAATTTTTAATTTTAACTCACAATACACATAATCTGAAATAGGCGGGGCAGGTGGTATTCTCATTGAATAAATGAGGAAACTGAATTTCAGAAAATTTGTGACTTGAGTTCACACAACTAGCGAGTAACACTTTTAAATGCATAATCCGAAAGGTGGCACTTCTGTTCCTCAAACTTCTGTTGAGAGCATTGTGCTTCATAGGAGACAAGATTTGTTATACGAAAGAGTACATTTTAATAAAATGACACTCAAAGGCTGTGGTAGCTAAAGTTCATCTTTCTGCAGAGATGTATGATCAAAGTATTTATTATTGCTTGTGCTATACTTAAAATTTTTTTCTCTCCCATTAGGGTTGTTTTATAAAGGTGATGACCATTATAGAGTCAGAAATGGGAGTCGTTGCAGGAATTTCTTTTGGAGTTGCTTGCTTCCAGGTAAGTCCTTATAGTTAAGAAATGTTTCATCACTCTTGTAGGTGTAAGCTAGATTTCCACTTTGAAGGCTTCAAGTTTTTGCCTCAGGGGCCTGGATAGCAAGGGCATTTTCAGAGCAGTCACATTTTCACAAAACCCTCAGTTGCTCATCACAGTATAGAAATATTTTTATTTTGTATATGAAACATATGTAGTCAGTCATTCATGATTGGGTCTTCATTTAGCTTTGTTTTATTTGGGAAGAGGGGCTATTTTGCTGTTTTCATTCCAATTTTTGACATCTTGGATCTTATGTTTTCCCACACTGTTTTCCACAACTACAGAGTTCTCTGAATTTTTATTCTCATTATACCTGTTCTTTTCACCATGGCCACACCTTGAAACTGCGAAAAGCAAGTCTTAGATTTAACTCCTAGCAGTACATATCTTTTGAAAGAAGTTAACTGTGGAAAGGCCTAGTGTCCTCTTAAGTATAACACCTTTCCAGCATCATAGTTCATTAATTAAACAAAATATGAGATAGGTGGGAACCTTGTTTTGCTCTACAGTCAGTCAAAATTCCAAAACATTATTAGGATCTTTCTTTCCTGGGCTGCAACTGCCTGATGAGTTGCATGTAAGTTCCAACCTGTTAAAATTTAGATCATACAACCCCACAGTCAATATGTGCCTGTTATTTTGGGTAGATGCTATGTTGTGGGTCACGTTGTGTTTCCTGAGTTGTGCTTCTTCTCACTGTAGCATGTTTGTATTGTGGCTCTAAATTTTTTTTAGGGAATGGGGGTTTTTCCTATATTAAACATAGTGGGGATAAGACCAAAAGCATCAACATACTTCATTTTGACCTATATAATTGATTTTGGAAGTCGAATCTTAATATATTTCTAAAGCAGCAGGTATAGCTGTGTCTGAATCTGCACTGCCAAATAAAACAGCCACTAGCCACCTTTGAAAGGTTCTAATTGCTAATTAAAATTAAAAATTGGGTTCCTCGGTACTCTAGCCCCACTCCAGCCCCAAAGGCACATGTGGCTGGTGGCCACCATGTTGGATAGCACAGGTACTACAGAGCATTTCCATTGTGAAATTCTGGGTCACAATAGCAGTGCAATTTCACTTATATTCTCGGAATGGGATCCAGGTGCTGCAGAGTATCAAACATGACTGTCTAGAAAAACTTAAGGAAATTATTAGTGAATTAGAAGTGAAAGGAGAATATACCTATATCCTAAGTTGTTTAAGCTCTTTTGTGTGTGTTTTTGCTCGTATTTTATTTCTAGCTGATTGGAATCTTTCTAGCCTACTGCCTCTCTCGTGCCATAACCAATAACCAGTATGAGATAGTGTAACCAGCATGTCACGGGCTTACTCCTCGCCAACGTTAAGGTACGTTCATTGTGGTCTCAGCTCTGTCAGTCCTGGTGTTTACTCCAGCCTGTGTGTGTGATGGATGGACTGAGTTTGCCAAGATCATCTTATCCAGTAGTGCATTCAAATCTTATTAGTACTATGTTAGCCTTGCATAGGCAGATCAGGTCTCTACATACAAGGCATGGCTAAAAAGGACAGAAGAGCCTCTCTGGGTTTACCTACACATGTCAGCCTAAAGATTGTAAGTGGTCCCCTTTCTAACAAATTTGGACCTAGAGTGAGGAGAAAGGAAGAATCCCAACAGTGACCTTACTCTTGAAGTTCCCTGGCAAGTACACGCTGCTCTTAACCAATATTGGCATTTTCCCTGGTCTTTTCCCTAGTTCTCATTTACCATGGTCCTCTGGTGGACTATTGATAGAGCCATAAACTCATCTAGCCTAACTAGGAACCAGATTTTGGGGAAACATGTGTTTTACTAACTTTAGTATTTGAATGGTAAAATGTGAGAACTGTTGCTGGCTGAATTAATCCCTAGGGTGCCCTTCACCCTAGGGATTTTAACTGAGCCACTGACTGGGAACACATGAAGGTCTTCATTAGCAGAATAGATTAGAATGTGTGCAAGCGAATACAGATACTGAAATTTGAGTTAAAAGTAAATTAACTTTTTGTCTTTAATTTTAGGACATTTACATTCCCCCCTATGAACTACAAGATTGCCTGGATGGAAGACTGCCTAACATTACTTACGGATAGACCGAAAAACTACACCAATAGTCTGAGTCGATCAAGACATTTGTTTAATATGTTCTAAGTCCACCTTCTGTCCCATTCATGTTAGATCATTGAAACCCCTGTATCACTCTCAAACACTGGAAGAGCTAGTAAATTGTAAAAGAAGCAATACTGTGTTCCTCTTTTATTTCTCTCAATGTGGGGCTTTCAAAAGGCACTGTGAATTTGCTACTTTGATGTAGCGTTATAAAATGGAAAATTGACCCCTCTGAATTTGCTATTGATGTGGTGTGGTAGAAAATTGACCCCAACTTGCATCGAGAAGTTAAAATGTTTTCATTAGTCTCTGTTCTGCTGATAGGCAGAGGGTCACCTTGTGTCATTTAATTCCAGCCAGTAGTCGGATGGCACCCATCATCAGAGTTGCCAGATGGTGGTAGCCATCTCTGACCCAAGGCACTACCAGGGTTCTGTGACACATCGGGCTGCAGCACGCTTACACTTGACATTTCTCTGCCTCCAAATTAAGGTGTTTATACTGATGTTTCTATTCCCCCTATTGTTTGAAAGGTTCTAATTGTTACTTAATGGTGTCGGAATTATTGTATTTTTCTTAGGAATTTAAAGCAACTTATCTTCATTAGCTTTAGCTGGTGTTTCCTTACCAGGTTGATATGACTTACTTGTCAATATTATGGTCAACTTTAGTAGTCTTAGTTTTGGTTTGTGTCTTTGATTAATAAATATAAATCTTTCATGTAATAAATACTGTTTTCCACTAAAATCATTGTGTTTAAATTAACTTTTAGAAAATCTAGTGGGATGGTTGTTTTCCACTGAGAAAGCTAAGCCCCACATTTCTACTTGGAGTATAGTTTTAGATATGAAATGTAAAGCTGAGGTCTTGACTCTTTGTGTCATTAAAATAATGTCCCTGTTTAGAATAACTGTTCCCTGTGAAAGGATTACATTCCTTGTTGTGAAATAGCATATGCTTAGCATTCTCCGAGAGATCAAACTTGTTTGATTGTATAGTTTACGTTAGGAAGTTAGATAGGGAGACATGTAACCTGTACCTTCAGGGTAATAAGGAAATTAATAATTAAAATTTGAGTTGAAATGGGGAAATTCTCTGGTTTTGGGTTTCTTTCTACGTCCATTAGTAGAACCTAGTTCATCTCTGGTTGCCACATCTCCACACAGTCCTTGAATTTGCTGGTAAGGGGGAGTCAATCACAGTTATAAAGTAAATAAAAAACTGCTAGTTAAATAAGATTAATAATGACTTCTGGGTACATGTTTTAAAATGCTTGGAGTTGCTACAGAAAGAGGATAGTCTCCATTAAAACATTTGATGGGTGATTTTTGACATAAGAAGGTAGAGTGAGAAAACAGTTGAAAAATAGTGGCTTTCCAAGTGCAGTAAATCAGATTTTTGGCTATTGGAATTAGTGAAGCTGAAGAAGCAAATATTTAAAGGATAATCGGAGCAGTGTTTAAATAGGTATTTTTCACTAGGATGGCCTAGAAGAGCCTTTCAAAGTTTTCCTTAAGTAGTTTCTTTTTTAAGTTAAAAGTTTTCCCTGATTATTGAAAAGAAAAAAACACACATAGAAAATAAGGAAATTAGAAAGATAAAAAACACCACACATTACCCTGAAGGTGAGCTCTTGTATGTATTTTTAAGGTGGGTTTGTTTTAGATGGCCAGTTACAGAAGTTTATAGCTAATGTGTGCATGTGCGCATTGGACTGTAAAATCTGCCTCCACCTTCGATGTGCCAAAGGTGTCCTGTGGGTTGTCTCGCTTCCAGGCACCAGGTTGCTTGCTGCAAAGGAAGCTCTGAACACCACTTTGAGAAGCAGAGCTCCATAGGTATGTTTTCTGAAAGTGTGGAAAGCTTGGCAGCTTTGGCCTATTCCTGTGGGGGTTGGGTTTATGTTGTAGGCATCAAACTTTTACAGAAGTAAATACCGAATACAAGGTATAAATGCCATTTCTGTTTTTCTTCAGAGCTCACACAGGATTTGAGACGATGTTTTTTAACCTCCTGGTAGAATCCAAGTTGCTACATTGCCAGCGATGCAGCCAACCAAACCAATTAAATTATGAGAGGCAAAGCAATACATGCATTTATTTCTTTGTGAAACTGAGGAAACTTGGGTTCCTTTGGACTATTCTGTGTAAGCTTTTGTTGGAATTTGTAGAAAAAAAAATCTAACACAAAGTATAAATACAATTTCTGCTTTTCCTCACAGCATACATAAGATACATTGAGATTTGATTTTTTTTTAAGTTTCTTGTTCTCCGAGGTTCACACTTTGCCTGTGATGTGGCGACCAAACATTTTTAATTCAAAAAGGAAAACAGGCGGTGGCGCAAGCGGTTAGGTGCGCGCGCTCCGCTGCGGCGGCCCGGGGTTCGCTGGTTCGGATCCCGGGTGCGCACCGACGCACTGCTTGGCGAGCCATGCTGTGGCGGCGTCCCATATAAAGTGGAGGAAGATGGGCACAGATGTTAGCCCAGGGCCGTCTTCCTC